AGCCCAGGAAATCAAGACTCCTCGAGCCATGATTGTGCCACTGTACTCCTGCCTGGGCGAAGGGAGTGAGACCCTGTCTCAAAATAATAGTAAAAGAATAAAGTGCCGAGTGCCCCTAACCTCATACCAGCCCCTTCCTTGGGACCCCCTGTGACAATCCTGGTAAATCTCAATCCACAGAGCTCTGGGACCCCTCACCTCTCCAGGTACTGTTCTTTCTATCTCTATTTTCTTGCCCCTGGCTTTTCTCTCCAATATGGTCCAGAACTATGGCAAGCCCATCAATCTCTGTTCCCTGCTTTTCTTCCAAGGCTCTCTCTGCCTCAGCTTGTAACTTGAATTCAATATATGCAATTGTGGCGATGAGGTGAGGGAGAGAAGAATAGTTAGCATTTAGGGCCACAGACTGTTATGTGTCTTCTCGATCAGTAATATACAAGATTCAAAATCCAAAAAGTAGAAAAGGATATGGTTTAGAACATGTAGAAAAAGGGGAAAAAAAAAAAAAAAAGGATACGGTGTAGTCTTCCTTATATTCCTATTCCAGGCCACCCAATTTCTAACCATAGAGGCAACATTCTGTGTATACAAAAACAAATGTATATACACACACAACTTTTCTTAAAAAGCTTGAGATATAATTTACATATCATAAAATTCACCCATTTAAACTTTACAATGGTTTCTAATATGTTTACACAACTGTACGATCATTATTGTAAACTAACTTTGGAACATTTTTATTGTCCCCAAAAGTACCCATCAGCAGTCACTCCTCATTCCTCTCAACCCATTCTCACTCCCAGCCACAAGCAAGTACTGCTCTAGTTTCTGTCTGTATAGATTTGGCTATACTGGACATGTCATATATGGAATGACACACTACACTTTATCAGTCCATCAACTGATAGACATTTTGGGTCATTTCTACTTTTTGACTATTAAATAATGCTGACATGAACATTTGTAGGAAAGTATGAACATATGTTTTCATTTCTTTGAGGTAGATACTTAAAACAATTGCTGGACCATATGGCAATTCTATGTTTAACATTTTGAGAAACTGTCAAACTTTTCCAAAGCAACTGAACTATTTTACATTCCCACCACCAACATATGAGGGCTCTACCTTTTCCACATCCTTGTCAACATTTGCTACTGTTTGCCTTTTTTATTCTAGCCATTCTAATGAATGTGAAATCTAATGAATGTGAAAAACATCATAGTTTTGATCTGCATTTCCCTAACGACTAATGTTGAGCATCTTTTTGCATGCTTATTGGCCATTCATATGCCTTGTTTGGAGAAACGTCCATTGAAATCCTTTGCCCATTTTTTAATTGGATTGCCTTTTTATTGTTAAATTGTACTATGAGTTATTTATATATTTGGACACAAGTCCCTTATAGAATATATGCTTTGCAAATATTTTTTTCCAGTCTATAGATTTTTTCTTTTTTTTTTTTTTTTTTTTTTTTTTTGAGACGGAGTCTCGCTCTGTCGCCCAGACTGGAGTGCAGTGGCGCGATCTCGGCTCACTGCAAGCTCCGCCTCCCGGGTTCACGCCATTCTCCTGCCTCAGCCTCCGGAGTAGCTGGGACTACAGGCGCCCGCCACCACGCCCGGCTAATTTCTTTTTGTATTTTTAGTAGAGACGGGGTTTCACCGTGTTAGCCAGGATGGTCTCGATCTCCTGACCTCGTGATCCGCCCGCCTCGGCCTCCCAAAGTGCTGGGATTACAGGCTTGAGCCACCGCGCCCGGCCTTTTTTTTTTTTTTTTTTGAGACGAAGTTTCACTCTCATTGCCCAGGCTGGAGTGCAGTGGCGCAATCTCGGCTCACTGCAATCTCTACCTCCCAGGTTCAAACGATTCTCCTGCCTCAGTCTCCCAAGTAGCTGGGATTACAGGTGCTCACCACCACGTCTGGCTAATTTTGTATTTTTATTTTTAGTAGAGACAGGGTTTTGCCATGTTGCCCAAGCTGGTCTCTAACTCCTGACCTCAGGTGATCCACCCACTTCGGCCTCCCAAAGTGCTGGGATTACAGGCATGAGCCACTGTGCCCAGCCAGTCTATAGATTTTCCTCTGACTTTTTAAATATGGCCTTTGAAACACAAATATTTTTTATTTTGATTAAGCCCAACTTCTCAATTTTCCTTAATCACTTGTGCAAAAACTGTGTTTTCTTCTAAGGATTTTACGTTTTAGCTCTTACATTTAGGTCTTTGATCCATGTTGAGTTATTTTTTTGTATATACAGTGTGTTCTCCATTATGTTTTTACATAAAAAGCAGAATACTGTACACACAGTTTGTCTTTTTTCATTTAATATACACTTTGTCTTTTTTCTCTTAATGATGTATACTGGAGATTGTTTCCCATCAGTACACAAAATATGATTTCATTCCTTTTTACAGCTATATAGAAAAATATCTTATGGATCTGCCAGACAATTTTAGCCACCTGTTGCTTGATATTCAGGTTAATTCTAATTTTGCATCAAACAACTTTGCAATACATTATTTCACACTTGTCTGAGACTATCTGTAGGATAAATTCTTAAGAGTGGAACTGCAAGACAAAATGATAATTGCAACTGTAACTTTGATAGATATGGCTAAGTACCTAATCTGCATAGAGATTTCTCCAATTTCACTTCCAATAACAAAGTATGAGCATGCCAGTTTCTTTACCCTCTTCTCCACTGTGCTAATAAACCTTTTGATCTGTGACTACTTGATAGGTAAAAAGTTGTATCTCAGTGTAGATTTCATTTACAATTCTTTTACTACGAGTGAGGATGAGTACCTTTTCCTATGCTTAAAACTCCTTTTCTGTCTGTCCACAACCTGCCTATATTTCTCCTAAGTTGTTGGTATTTTTCTTACTCACTTGTTAGGTGCACTTTTATTTTATTTTATTTATTTATTTTTCTGAGACAGAATCTTGCTCTGTTGCCCAGGCTGGAGTTCAATGGCATGATCTCGGCTCACTGCAACCTCTGCCTCCCAGGTTCAAGCGATTCTCCTGCCTCAGTTTCCCGAGTAGCTGGGATTACAGGTGCCTGCCACCACACTTGGCTAATTTTTTCTATTTTTAGTAGAGACAGAGTTTCACCATGCTGGCCAGGCTGGTCTGGAACTTCTGACCTCAGGTGATCTGCCCGTCTCCGCCTCCCGAAGTGCTGGGATTACAGGCGTGAGCCACCACGCCTGCCCTTCAGAAGGTTTCACCATGGGGACGCACTTTATTTTTACCTATTTATTATTTATTATTTATTTTTTGAGACAGAGTCTCGCTCTGTCACCCAGGCTGGAGTGCAGTGGCACGATCTCAGCTTACTGCAAACTCCGCCTCCCGGGTTCACGCCATTCTCCTGCCTCAGCCTCCCTAGTAGCTGGGACTACAGGCACCCACCACCGCGCCCAGCTAATTTTTTGTATTTTTAGTAGAGACGGGGTTTCACTGTGGTCTCAATCTCCTGACCTCGTGATCCGCCTGCCTCGGCTTCCAAAGTGCTGGGATTACAGGTGTGAGCCACCGCGCCCGGCCACTATTATTATTTTTTAAGATGGAGTTTCACTCTTGTTGCCCAGGCTGGAGTGCAATGGTGCAATCTCGGCTCACTGCAACCTCCGCCTCCTGGGTTCAAGTGATTCTCGTGCCTCAGACTCCCAAGTAGCTGGGACTACAGGTGCCTGCCACCATGCCCAGCTAATTTTTTGTATTTTTAGTAGAAACAGGGTTTTACCATGTTGGCCAGACTGCTCTCGAACTCCTGACCTCAGGTGATCCACCTGCCTCAGCCTTCCAAAGTGCTGGGATTACAGGTGTGAGCCACCATGCCTGGTCTGGTGTACTTTTTTTTTTTTTTTTGAGATGGAGTCTTGCTCTGTTGTCCACACTGGAGTGCAATGGTGTGGTCTTGGCTCACTGCAACCTCCACCTCCCCAGTTCAAGTGATTCTCGTGCCTTTGCCTCCCGAATAGCTATGATTACAGGTGCCTGCCACCATGCCCGGCTAATTTTTTGTATTTTTAGTAGAGACAGGGTTTTACCATGTTGGCCAGGCTTGTCTCGAACTCCTGACCTCAGGTGATCCACCCGCCTCAGCCTCCCAAAATGCTGGGATTACAAGTGTGAGCCACCACACCCAGCCTCTGCTGCACTTTTATATCAGCAAAACCAGTCTTCAGTTTTGATGAGTTACCAATAGTTTTCCCTGGTTTGTCACTTGTCTTTTGACTTTGCTTATGGGGATTTTTTTCCCCCATGTAAAATTATATTTCTGCAGTCAAATTTATATATATATATATATTAGACAGAGTTTCCCTCGCTCTTGTCACCCAGGCTGGAGTGCAGTGACACGAGCTCGGTTCACTGCAGCCTCTGCCTCCCGAGTTCAAGTGATTCTCCTGTCTCAGCCTCCTGAGTAGCTGGGATTATAGGCGTGCACCACAGCATGTGGCTAATTTTCTGTATTTTTAGTAGAGACAAGGTTTTACCATGTTGGCCAGGCTGGTCTCGAACTTCTGATGACAGGTTTTTCCCCCTGCCTCGGCCTCCCAAAGTGCTGGGATTATAGGCATGAGCAACTGTGCCCGGTCTGAGTCACATTTTTAAACATAATGCACCACATTCTTTTTTTTTTTTCTGAGACGGGGTCTCGCTCTGTCACCAGACTGGAGTGCAGTGGCCCGATCTCGGCTCACTGCAACCTCTGCCTCCCGGGTTCAAGCAATTCCTCTGCCTCAGCCTCCCAAGTAGCTGGGACTACAGGAGCGCGCCACCGCACCTGGCTAATTTTTTGTATTTTAGTAGAGATGGGGTTTCACCATGTTGGCCAGGATGGTCTCAATCTCTTGACCTCATGATACACTGGCTTCGGCCTCCCAAAGTGCTGGGATTACAGGGATGAGCCACCATGCCCAGCCTGCACCACACTCTTTTCTGGCATAGGTACTATGCTTTATTTCACATGGGCGTGGATTCTCTGGTTTCTCGTATCTCCCCTTTACAATCATTCTTTTTTATTATTTTTAATTTAGGACATATCAGATATTAAACTGAGAAAACAGATACTACACTTGATCTTAGCCAAAAGGCTGAGAAGTGATACGATAATTCTTCAGGTAGAGAAATGATTATAAAGATTTAAGTATATTTAATTAAAACCTAATTAAACTTCGAGAAATTATATAACTTTTGGCAGGAATTTGTTTGCTTGTTTTCTGGAGACTATACGCAGAGTGCTCCCAAATCTCCTCCTGGTAAACACTGCTAATAATTTGGAATTTATTCTTTCAGATTTGTTTTCCTGTATTTATCATGGCTTTCCAGGTCAATATATATAGTTCTAGCTTATGCTTGTTAGATCTGTAGTATTCTTTCTAGAGATTACGTTCATCAGAACATACTGCTACAGATTATTTTAGAGTTCACCTACACCAACACATTTAGCTCAAATGTATCTATAAACCCAATATTCAATTTTCGCCTCAATGACAATCCCTTCAAAATATATTATACTCCACCCTCTCTAATATCACCATATTCACTCTCTTACTCTACCAAAGCCTAGATACCTAAGGACAGTGTTTCATTAATTGGTTACAACATAAAGCTAACAATTCAATTCTATGTTCTATTTTGGTACCTGTCCAAGCAAGCTACCAAGTACATTATTCTAGCAGAGTCAGCCCTGGAGAGAGAAGAATGAATGTACACAATCTATGAATAAATTCCAATCTTCAATCTTGTACTTGGTAGCAGATTAAGTTTCTATTTCTCTATAGCACCACTACAGTTTTCTAGGAGTTTTGGCTGTCCCTTTATGATGTCTCCTTTGGCTTTGTATGCCTACTGGCAGAAATCTGGATTACTACTCTTTCCTTCTCTACAATCAGGCATAAGAGATTTGAGAGAATGTAAAGAAATTCCATTATTTTGTATCCAGCAGACATACATTCTTATTCAGTACAAGGTGTAAAACATACCTTTTACTCATCCCATCTTTGCTCACTAATCTGATTTGAAAAGCATCCTCAAACACAAGAAGTGTTTCATGTAGAATGACTTTGTCAGGCAGGTTCTTGAGCAAAAGTGTTTTGGCATTTTGATCTACATAAAAACAAAAGAACATTTTTGGTGAGTTTAGATTTAGTAAGTATCTAAAGTCCCCTAAGATAGAAAAAATACCCCTTAGGCCGGGCACAGTGGCCCACACCGGGTGCAGTGGCTCACGCTGGGCGCAGTGGCTCACGCCTATAATCCCAGCTTTGGGAGGCCAAGGTGGGTGGATCACGAGGTCAGGAGATGGAGACCATTCTGGCTAACACAGTGAAACCCTGTCTCTACTAAAAATACAAAAAATCAGCTGGGCGTGGTGGCATGTGCCTGTAATCCCAGCTACTCGGGAGGCTGAGGCAGGAGAATCGCTTGGACATGGGAGGTGGAGGTTGCGGTGAGCCAAGATCGCACCACTGCACTCCAGTCTGGGCGACAGAGCGAGACTCTGTCTCAAAAAAAAAAAAAAAAAAAAGAAAAGAAAAAAGAAAAACACCCCTCAAAGAGTTGCAAAGCTGAAACAACCACACATCTTCGTTTATTTAACAAATATTTGAATACATACTCTGGGCTAGGGCCTGTGCTACATGCTCGCTGTGAAACACGAACTTGGCCTCTGCTCTCAGGCATGCGTTCTTGTTGGAGAGGACTGGTAAATGAAGAGTCACGTAATTATAAACTTTGACAAGTGCCAGGATGGACAAGTAACAGGGGCAATGAGGAAGTGCAGTAGAGAAGACTTACTCTAGTGTGGGTGTAAGGAAAGAGTTTTCGGATCTGAGGAAGTTATATTTAAGCTGAAACTGGATGGATGGGTTTCAAGTAGCCAGGGACTGAGTCCTGGAAAGAATGTTATGACAGAGAAAGGTGAGCCATGCAGCTCGAGCACAGGAGAGAGGGCAAGGTGCCATGGAGGCAGGTGGCCTGTCGGAAACTGAGGACTACTTGCATCAAATTAGGAAGAATGTGATATTCCTGCCTGACCCAGAATCTTCTAGATACATCGATATCTTTGAACAAATTACCTTGTTTGCATACCTTTGTTTCCTTTCTCTTTGGTTTCTTAAATTTAATTTCAAACCCAAGGACTTTTGTATCACTTAGTTCCAGGGCCTTTTCTTGATCATCAGCAGATTTAAAATTCACATAACCAAATCTCCTACAGAGATGTAGAAGGAAAGGGAAAAAGCACACCCAGGTAAGATGAAGCGCCTATGCCTCTGGTTAACTAATCACACTAGCTGTTGGAATAGAAATTAGCACTAAGTCACAAGCAGCTGCCTAATTTACAATTTAAAACCAAGGCTCCACAAACTGGCAGTCAGTACTGTGAAGTAACTATGGAGTAGTAGTTCTCACCCAGGGAGCAAGTTTGACAATGTCTAGAGACATTTTTGGCTGTTACAAATAGGGAAGCATCTAGTATCTAAAGGGTAGAATCCAGGGAGGTTGCTAAACATCCCACAACGAACTGGACAGCCACCACAACATAGATTGCCCAGCCCAGACCCGGCGTGGTGGTTCATGCCTGCAATCCCAGCACTTTGCGAGGCCAAGGTGGGCAGACTGCTTGAGCTTAGGAGTTTGAGACCAGCCGGGTCAACACATATTTCCTGTCTCTACAGAAAATACACACACACACACACACACACACACACACACACACACACACACACAAATTAGCCGGGCATAGTGGTGCATGCCTGTGGTCCCAGCTACTCGGGAGGCTGATGTGGGAAGATGGCTTGAGCCGGAGGGCAGGAGTTGTGGTAAGCCGAGATCACACCATTGCACTCCAGCCTGGGTGATAGAGCCAGACCCATCTCCAAAAAAAGAAGAATTTTCCAGTCCAGAATGTCAGTAGTGCTGAAAGCAAGAAACCACGTTCCAGAGCAAGGATTGAGAATCAGTACAGAGTTTGCCTACTGACATCTCTATTAGTTTTCTGCTTAACAACTGACAAAATTTAACCAAAAGCTATAGAAAGTGTGGCTTGCAATTACCAATTTTGGCTGGGCGCAGTGGTTCACACCTGTAATCCTGGCACTTTGGGAGGCTGAGGTGGGAGGATCACTTGAGCTCAGGAGTTCAAGATCAGCCTGGGCAACATGGCGAAACCCCATGTGTACAAAAAAGGCATGGTGATGTGTGCCTGCAGTCCCAGCTATTCAGGAGGCTGAGGTGGGAGGACTGTGGGAGCCCAGATGGCAGAGGTCACAGTGAACCATGATCACACCACTGCACTCCAGCCTGGGCAATGGAGTGAGACCCTGTTTCAAAAAAATTTATTTATTTATGTATTTATTTTTGGCTGGGTGCAGTGGCTCACACTTGTAATCCCAGCACTCTGGGAGGCTGAGGCAGGCAGATCACTTGAGACCAGGAGTTCAGGACCAGTCTGCCCACCATGGCAAAACCGCGTCTCTACTAAAAATACAAAAATTAGTCAGGTGTGGTGGCAGGCGCCTGTAATCCTAGCTACTTGGGAGGCTGAGGCAGGAGAACTGCTTGAACCTAGAAGGCAGAGACTGCAGTAAGCTGAGATTGTATCACTGCACTCTCGCCTGAGCGAAAGAGGGAGCCTGTCTCAAAAAAAAAATTTTTTTTTTTAATTTTTAAGAAACAGGCAGGGCACAGTGGCTCACACCTGTAAGCTCAGGACTTTGGGAAGCTGAGGTGGAAGGATCACTTGAGCCCAGGAGTTTGAGACCAGCCTGGGTAAAATAGCGAGACCCTATCTCTAAGACTTGGAAGATCTTGGGATTATTTTAATATTTTGGTTGGGAAAATGGGGTAGCAAAGTTTAATATAACAGATTTACTAAACATGAGCCACTGAAGGATTTTACGTATTCACTTTGAGCTGCAAGTGACTGAGGTAAAATTCCACCAAAAGGTGAAGAGCAGTAACAAAAGGACCTGAGAAGACAGCAGCCTATGAACCATCATGAAGTAGCATAAAGCTACTGGAACTCCTAAATTCTCCAGGAATAGTAAGTGCTGAGCTGATAAGCTCTTAAACACCTTCTTAGTTTATTGGTACTTACCTGGACAAGCCAACTCTGACGCCAACAACTTCGAGATCATTGTTAGCAAAAAATTAACTGAGACCAGCTTTTGGTTCAGCAGCAGTTTTGTTGAAATTCAGGTTTCCAACAAACAGCTGGAATGCTACACATGGTTCAGTTGCTACTCAAAAAGGTTAAAAAAAAAAAAACCAAAAAAAAACTCAGTTCAGATAAAGTAGCACTAAAAGGAAATCCATTGAAGATTGTAACACCAAGCTTCTGTGGCAAATCCCATTGTTGCTTGTTTGGGCTAATGGAGACTAAGTTTTTGCCAACGTGACATTCTCCATGCATCTCCTGCACTTTAAACCACGGCCAATAAGTTACCTTCTAATTTTTGCTTTTTGGCTCCAGGGGAATCTTTCTGATTGGCCATTTCCTTCTTTTGTTTATCAGGTGTTTCTTTGATAGGTTCTGTGGGTGAAAGCTAGAATATCGCATTTGCAATCATCTGCTTGGGCCACTAATGAGTAAACTGGAAACTTTTATATTCCTAAGCTACACTTAATTGTCACAAGACTCATGAGTTGAGTCTGGTCAGGGTACTTTCAAAAGCATTTCTAAATTAGTAAGAAAGTTATTTAATCAAAGAAATACAACAGCCCCTTCTGATGGGCTTCACTTACAACTAGCATTCCATGATGTCAGTCACACTGCTTAACAGGGCTGACCCAGATCATCCGACCTTCCCCCCCTCCTCTTCCTCACTGCCTTTGTCACTGCCACTGTCGCCATCCTGTTTATCATCTTCAACCCTCATGGGAAGGTCTTCTCTAACTTTGGTCCCAGCTTTATTTTTCCCCCCACCCCCAGAATCACAAGGGAAGCCACCTAATCAATTACTATTACACAGACTAGTTAAGAATGACAAATTCTCCTTTCAGAGAACAATTGTTCTTTTATATCCGGCTGTATATAAAAATCTAAGAAAAAAATTCACAGCCACTTTAACTTTTTATTTTGAGATAGGGTCTCACTTATGCTGCACAGGCTGAAGTGCAGTGGTGAGATTATGACTCACTGCAGCCTCAATCTCCCTGGCTCAATCCATCCTCTTGCCTCGGCCTACCAAGTAGCTGGGATGACAGGTGTATGCCACCATACCTGGCTAATTTATTAATTTCTTATAGAGATAGGGTCTCGCCCTGTTACCCAGGCTGGTCTTGAACTCCTGGCCTCAAGCAATTCTCCTGCTTCAGCCTCCCAAAGTGCTGGGATTACAGGGTATGAGCCACGATGCCCAGCCTCATTTTAACTTTATTATGAAATAATTTTAAATGTATGGTTCTTGCATTTTAATAACTATAGTAAGAATTACTGCTTTGGTAGCAATACTTTAAATGTTACACAGACTCCATCAAGACAAAAACAAACCACTGAAAATTAAATCTGAGATGACCTACCTGCGTGGTTCATAAGCACAAAGACAGAACTCATCAATGTATAGTATTTAAAGACAAAATTTCTGGGCTACGCACGGTAGCTCATGCCTGTAATTCCAGCACTTTGGAGGCCAAGGCGGGCGGGTCACTTGAGGTCAGGAGTTCAAGACGGCCTGACCAACATGGCCAAACCCCATCTCTATTAAAAATTTAAAAATTAGCCAGTGTGGTGGCACGTGCCTGTAATCCCAGCTACTCAGGAGGCAGACGTTGCAGTGAGCCAAGACAACACCAGTGCACTCCAGCCTGGGTAACAGAGCAAGATTCTGTCTCAAAAAAAAGAAAAAGAAAGAAAGAAAAAGAAAATCTCTGACTAGGGTCAGGCAGACAGCAAAGGTCAAACATCCACTGAAACTCCTCAATGAGGCCAATCATGAAGAATCAGCCAGGGATTGCCAAGGCATTTTTCAGAAGGATGGATTTTTAACAGAATCTCTCCCCGAGTGCTAGAATGGCGCACACAGCAGCTTGTCTCTAACTCACAGCCACTCACCAGGAACCTGCAGAAGGGTTCTTTACCTTCCTCATCCTGGTCCAATTCACTGTTCCGGTCGTCATTCTCCTGGTGGCTCTTATGGTCCTTGAGCTTGGCTCCCCTCTTGCTTGGTGATATTAACTTCTCAGAAAACACAGGAGCCAGAGACTTTTCCTCCCCTCCTTTCTTTCCTGGGGCAGTAGTATTCCTCCCACAACTCTTACGAGGGACAAGAACCTGGAGGAGAAACAGCAACAATGAAGATGCCTCTTCATGAAGCTACAGTCACACTGTACAGTCGCTAAGTGCAAGATTCGGGTCAGGCATGTAAATCAACAACTATTTCATCTCTCTAAGATGGATTTCTCCTAGAGAAATGTAGTAAAAAGTCTTCCAGCACCAGAATGACCTGGCATGTTTGTCTAAAGAAAAAAAAGAAGGCCAGGCCTGGTGGCTCATGCCTGTAATCCCAACACTTTGGGAGGTGGAGGCGGGCGGATCACCTGAGGTCAGGAGTTCGAGACCAGCCTGACCAACATGGAGAAACCCCATCTCTACTGAAAATACAAAATTAGCTGGGCGTGGTGGTGCATGCCTGTAATCCTACCTACTCAGGAGGCTGAGGCAGGGAAATTGCTTGAACCCGGGAGGCGGAGGTTGCCGTGAGCCGAGATCATGCCATTGCACTCCAACCTGGACAACAAGAGTGAAACTCTGTCTCAAGAAAGAAAATTTAAAAAAACAGAATGCTGGGCATGGTGGCTTATGTCTGTAATTCCAACACTTGGGAGGCCAAGGTGGGCAGATCATCTGAGACCGGGAGTTCAAGACCAGCCTGGCCAACATGGTGAAACCCTGTCTTACTAAAAAAAAAAAATTTAAAAACTGGCCAGGTATGGTGGTGCACACCTGTAGTCCCAGCTACCCGGGCAGGTGAGGCATGAGAACTGCTTGAACCCGGGAGGTGGAGTCGCAGTGAGCTGAGATCACACCACTGCACTCCAGCCTGGGCAACAGAGTGAGACTCTTATCTCAAAAAAAAAAAGAAAAGAAAAAGAAAGAAAGAAAAAAAGAAAAATTCTCAGACTTCACTTAGCACTAACAAACCAGAATCTCCACAGGGAAGCATCCAGATTTCTATGAGTACGGACGCTACTGCCCCAAGAGAATATACATCAATTATTCAAGTCATTAGAGCCCCAATTCTGACTTTGTATGATGGGTCAGTGTCAAAATGCAGGTGCAAAACACGGTTTATTCAGTGTACCGGAGGGAAAACTAAAACTACCTTTAGGCTATGTATATAAGGTATATATGAAACATAAATGAATTTTGTGTTTAGACTTGGGTGCCATCCCCAAGATATCTCATTACATATCTGCAAGTATGCCAAAATCCACAAAATCTGAAGTCTAAAACATTTCTGGTCCCAAGCATTTTGGATAAGGGATACTCAACCGATACAGTAAATGCTATCTTATGTTTCTCAACTTAACCAACTGACTGGATTAAATGACTGTCTCAATTCCAAATAGGTCTTACTATAATAACTTAATGCTTACGAAATGTCAAGCATGAGTGGGCCACTCTGTGGTACCCATACTAATGTGAGTGTCTCTATTCCTGTGAGCTGAACTGTATCTTTAATAAGAACCTGCTGTGGTGTTTGCTAACCTATATATGACCATAGTATTTGCAGTTTCAACTGCAGAATTAACTAAACATCATATAGACCAATACAATCAACGCAAAAAGGGCCGGGCGCAGTGGCTCACACCTGTAATCCCAACACTTTGGGAGGCCGATGCAGGCAGATCACATGAGGTCACGAGTTCGAGACCAGCCTGACCAACATGATGAAACCCCATCTCTACTAAAAATAAAAAATTAGCCGGGTGTAGTGGCACATGCCCCTAATCCCAGCTACTTGAGAGGGTGAGGCAAAAGAATTACTTGAACTCAGGAGCTGGAGGTTGCAGTGAGCCAAGATTGTGCCATTGCACTCAAGCCTACGCAACAAGAGTGAGACTCCATCTCAAAAAATAAAAGAAAATAAATGCAAAAAGTTATTGAGTCAATGAAAACAAACTTCAATGCTTTGGAAGTACTTGATAAAGCTTAAAAAACTGCAATCAAATTAAGTGTGCGTGAGCAACCATAAAAGAATGGGAAAAGCCATAAAACTGTGGGAATCTGTATTCAAACTGCTTTACTTACTAGGGTGTTAGAATTTTCGTTTGCTTTAAAGAAACAAACGTTAAATTGCAGAAAATGCATTATGTGTATACTTTATGCAGGGAAGATAAGCTACTCCAGCAGCAAACTCGAAGGTAAGGCCTTGGTTCCATATCAAAATATTGCCAAAGGAATACATAATATGTCTTAAATTAAAATCAAAAGGTATGGATGGATAATTTTCATGATTTCCCTACTTTTACTTTTTAAAAAATTGTATATATTTAAAGTGTACAACATGTTTTAATATACTTATGGCAAAATGGTTACTACAGTCAAGTAAATTAACAAATCCATCATCCCTAATAAGTGTGTGTGACAAGGGCACCCAAAACCCACTTTTACTTTTGATTAATTAAAACAACTAGACTGAAGAAGGCTGAAGAAAGTTTCTATCACACAACCAGTTGCTCAAAGTGGACAACAAATAAATGCTATCTGCCTCTCAGATCAAGCTGCTTAGGAGAAGACTGAGAAATGAATGGGAAAGGTATAGGGGGTTTGGATTCAGCAGACCTATGTATATCTGGCTGTCACTTATTAGTTCTGGAAACATGAGCAAGCTGGTTCATGGCTAAATCTGCTTTCTTGTCTAATTTTAGTATATGTGCTGCCGAAGCGAGCACGCTTTCTTGTCTAAAAAATAAAGCTAATGATGCCTACCTAACCTGGTCACTGTGAGGATGAAATGAAACAATGTATAAAGCAGTGGTCCCCAACCTTTTTGGCACCAGGGACTGGTTTTGTGGATGACAATTTTTCATGCATCCAGTGGGAGGGAAGAGGGATGATTCAAGTACATTACATTGATTGTGCACTTTATTTCTGTTATTACATTGTAATATATAATGAAATAGTTATACAACTCACCATAATGTAGAATCAGTGGGTGCCTTGAGCTTGTTTTCCTGCAACTAGACAGTCCCATCTAGGGGTGACGGGAGACAGTGACAAATCATCAGGCATTAGATTCTCATAAGGAGTGTAAAACCTAGATTCCTCACATGCACAGTTCCCAAAAGGGTCTGTGCTCCTATGAGACAGTATTGCTGCAGCTGATCTGACAGGAGGCGGAGCTCAGGCAGTAACGCCAGCAATGGGGAGGCAGCTGTAAATACAGATGAAGCTTCCCTCATTTGCCCACCGCTCACCTCCTGCTGTACGGCCTGGTTCATAACAGGCCATAGACCAGTACCACCAGTCTGTGGCCCAGGGCTTGGGCACCCCTGGCATAAAGCCTTTGTACAATGGCTGCACGTATGAAGCATTCCATATTCATTAGCTGTGTACCCACTAACCCACCTTAATTCTTTTAGGACTCAACTTAAACCTATTTTCAACTTTCAAAGGAGAGGCTCTCAGAAGAACATAGTAAAGACTTCAATATTTGTCAAAAGAAGAAATACGAAAACATGTTTGGCAGGTACACAAAGTAATAGACTTCTTTTCTTTTTTTTCAATTTAAAATAGCCAGGCAGGGCTGAGGGAAAGCACTGCTCCTGGGCCATAAATGAATGGATTTTAATGAATCAATTTAAAGAATGAAGAGATTTTCTTTTAAACCAGTATTTCCAGACAACCAATATGACTTTACAAAGAACACCTTGGCATTCCCAAAATAACCCACACTTGGTCACGAGGCATTATGATGTATTACTCTTTGCATAACATTGATAATATTTCTGGAATTTTTTTATCTATGCTCATGAAAGAGAGAGTGGTCTGTGATTTCTCAAAACGACCTGGTCAGGTTTTGGTATCAAGTATAGTGTGGACTTGTAATACTAGTTGAAAAGTGTTTGCAATATCACTTTTGAGGTTTGTGTGTTGTTGTTTTTTTTTTCTTTCAGACAGACTCTGTCTCCCAGGCTGGAGTGCAGTGGTGCCCTCACTACAACCTCCACCTCCCAGGTTCAAGCGGTTCTGCTGCCTCAGCCTCCCGAGTGGCTGGGACTGCAGGTGGAAGACACCACGTCCGGATAATTTCTGTATTTTTAGTAGAGATAGGTTTCTCCATATTGCCCAGGCTGGTCTCAAACTCCTGGGCTTAAGTGACCCTCCGCCTCCCAGAGTGCTGGGATTACAGGCGACAGCCATCCAGCCCAGCCAACTTTTGAGATTAAACAATGCAGTTTAACTGCTTTACTATGGATTTTAATTGTTGACAATAATAAATGCTACTCTGCTCAATTCTGTACATATAATTACCTCATCTCTACTGCTATTGTCCTTAGCTTCTGACATCTCATCTTCCCCATCTTCTGCCTGCTTTGGGAACTTATTTTCTTCAGTTCACCTTGATTTTTTTTCCTGCTCAAAATGGACAGGATTATTATTAGGCACATCACGGGGCCTTCACACATTCCAAGCCATGCACGTTTTGCCTCTAGTATTTCCAACAGTAAACTGGCATGTGGAATAAACTTATGTTAGGCCTCACCTTTTTATTTTCATTTGGTATTTTACTCACACCAGCGAACAGAAAAACAAATAGAAAAGGTGATTTTTCATGTTGTAGGTGAGGTCTCCCATACCTCTTCTTTTGCCACAATCGACAAGTGGAAACTCCTTAAGGTTAAGAAAGGAAAAAAAAAAAAAAGGCAAATTCCCAGGAATTCCTCCTTACTACTTTCATTCTGCTCCATCACGTGTTTTCAAATAACTGTTTTTTGGGGAAAAAAAAAAAATAGTTCCACTACAGACTACTCAAACGGAAGCACACTGGGCCAAAATAAAGGGGACACAGGGCCAAAAACAGTACCTGCAATTCAAGTACCTTTACCTCCCCAGTCAGATAATTCTGTGAACTGGGGCAGCATCCCTCACTACCCCCACCAGAATTCAGAACACAAATGAGTCTGCAACCCTCGCTGCCCACGGCAGCCCTTGTCCCTAACACGTTTTCCTTTAAGGCTGTCGCTGGTGTAGGGCCCCGCCCTCCCAGCGCCCGGCAAGGGCCTGTGCGGTGCGCCCCTGAGAGCCACCACGCGTGACGAATGCGGGCACGACGCCTGCGGAGAGCCCGGAGAAAGCCGCGGGCGCGGACACGCTGACGACGCCCTCTCAGCCGTTGCCCAACATCCAAGACCCGCCGGGAAGACGGCCACGTAGAGCGACGGCGCCCTGGCGACTCCGCCTCGCCCAATCAGAGCCCGCACCACCCCTGAACCAATCCTGAGCCGCGACCCTGGGAGGGGCGGGCGGTACGGGAGCCTGGGGGCGGAGTCTCGAGGCGGGGTGGACGGGGATGCACGTGCTGCGCCTGCGCGTGGGGCGGACTGTTTGCTGCGGTCTAACGCAGGTGGTAGTGGTTTGGGTTCGTTGGTCCCGATGCGCGCGGTGTCCATGGTCTTCGCGCCAGGTTGGCGCGGGAGAAGGCCCAGGCACCCCAGAGTTCGAGGAGTTGGTGACGGTCACGCAGTCCGTCGCTCCTCTGGCGGTGGGGCAGTCGGAAAGTGAATAGCAGTCTTTCAAGCGACCGGTCCGTGAGGGAGCGTGTGCCGGGATGGGTTCCCAGCGCTCGGGGCCGTTAAACAGTTCAAGCCGCGTCCTGCCCAGTGAGGGCTGTGTTAGCGTCCTCTCCGGTTCCAGCCGGGAAGGAGGCACTGAGACGACAGCTGAGGGTCACTCCGTTAAGGCTGTCGCTGCTGTAGGGGCCCTCGCCCCGCTGCGTGTTCGTGCCACCCAGCGTACTGAGTGCTTTTTCAAAATTTTATGGACGTCTCAAAACACGTGTGACAGATGGTAGTAAGTTTCATTTTTCATTTAAAGAAGTTAAGACCCGGTAGTTAAGGTGTAATTCTCAATCACTTAATACTCTCTCCTAGTTTCTTTGAGTTGGACTATCATGAACATGTGCTCTCACAAGGCCCCATGGCCATTAACACCAGTAGCCCCAGTAGGAGGATCAAGCTCCTAGGAGCTAGCCCCACGTTGGAACTTGAACAATGACACTTTGGGGATATTGTGTGTGTTTGGGGGATAGGGAAGGGCGATCTTGAATAAGGGGCCCTGGCCTTATCCTAGCTTCAGAAAAACCCAAATAGGGAAAGAATGAGAATAGAAAAAACAATCTGCCTACCTGTTTTAGATTTGGTACCTCGCTAAACTCTTGTTACCTAGCTTACTTTATGAGATTAGCCCAAATACTTTAAGAAAATATTATATATATCTGATCGAGAACAACTGAAGAAAAGGCAAAAGCCCATTTCATTTATGAGCAGAGGCAAGGTTCAAATAAAGTATTAGCAAATTGAGTCACCGCACCCTGCCAGGAAGTATTATTAAAATCAGTAACAAGGACAGGATAAGACACAAGCAAAATCCATAAATGTGCCAAAATATGGCACCTTGGCGGTTGAGAAAACCACAGAAGAAAGGTCTCTGTGATCTGCTCCTGCCTTTCTCCCATAAACCAGGGTCATAAAAGAATTCACTGGCCTACCTCATGTGAAGTAGGTCGTAAGACCCTCATTCCAGAGGAGTCTTGCCGCATACCTGGGGCGGAGAAAGAACCTGAACAAATGGGCCATGCCGCAGTCTCCTCCCACCCCTATGTATGACCATTAGATGATGCTCCTTTTGTCCAATCATGTTTCTGCACAACTATCTACTTCTTTCATCAGACTTAGCATAAAAATACAGTTTTCTTTAGGTCATCGGGTCTTCGTTTCTGAAGGTTCCTATGTCACATAAGACTTTAAATTTGTTATGCCTTTCTCTCAATAATCTTGTTATAGGGGTGGCAGTCATAACCCTTAAGATGGGTGAGGAAAATATTTTTTCCCCTACCAATGAAATGGTGATAAATTTGACCACGTTACAGTTTACAACTTGCAGGAGTTTTCTATAGACCAATTTAAAACACAACAAATTAGAAATATTTGTAACATATACAACACAAATTTAATATTGTAATATGAATGAAATACGAATCAAGAAAAAAAATGACTGAAGGATATGAAAAGCCATTTTCAGGGGAAATTTCAGTGGCAAAGATATGAAGACATGCTCAACTATACAACTATTAGGGAAATGCAACTTAATAAGATACTATATTTTATCTGTCAGAGTGACAGAAATTACAAGTGTTTGGGGATTGTGGAGAAACTGGTGAAACGGCAAATTGTTACAAACACTTGGAGAGAAGTTTGGCAGTTTTAGTAAAGGTAAAAATATTCATTCCTTCCTTTAGCAAATCCACTTGCATGTATCTAACCTAGAGAGCGTTCAGACTGCTGGAGAGACATATACGTGAATCTTCATTGCAAACTTTGGGGGTTTTTGTTGTTGTTTGAGACAAGATCTTGCTCTCACCCAGGGTGGAGTGCAGTGGTGCTGTCATGGCTCACTGCAACCTTGACCTCCCAGGCTCAAGCAATCCTCCCGCCTCAGCCTCCCGAGTAGCTGGGACCACAGGCATGCACTGGTCAATTTTGGGGTTTTTTTTGGGGGGGGTGGTGGTGTTTCTGTAGATAGAGATGGACTTTTGCCATGTTGCCCAGCCTGGTGTTGAACTCCTGGGGTCAAGCGATCCTCCTGCTTGAAGCGAGATCTCATTTCTACCAAAAAAAAAAAAATTAGCTGGGTGTGGTGGTGTGTGCAAGTAGTCCCAGCTACACAGGAGGCTGAGACAGGAGGATCACTTGAGTCCACCAGGAGTTTGAGGCTACAGTGATCCCACGACCGTGCTCCAACCTAGGTGACAAAGTGAGACCCTGTCTCTAAAAAACAAAAATAAAAAGTGTCTTTTAATTGTTGGTTTGTTTTGAATTAGGATTTTAAAATATCTACACATTGCTTTCCGGTGGTGATGAACTACCCACACGAGAACATGCCTCTCACAAAGGATCTCCTTCATCCCTCCCCAGAAGAGGAGAAGAGGAAACACAAGAAGAAACGCCTGGTGCAGAGTCCCAGTTCCTACTTCATGGATGTGAAATGCCCAGGATGCTGTAAAATCACCATGGTCCTTAGCCGTGCACAAACGGTAGTTTTGTGTGTTGGCTGCTCCACTGTCCTCTGCCAGCCTACAGGAGGAAAAGCAAGGCTTACAGAAGGATGTTCCTTTAGGAGGAAGCAGCACTAAAAGCACTCTGAATCAAGATGAGTGGGAAACCATCTCAATAAACACATTTTGGATTAAAAAAAAAAAATATATATATATATATATATATATATACATACACACACATTACATTTAGTTGATATGTCTCTTTAAAAAAAAAAAAAATGAGATGGAGTCTCCCTCTGTCACCAGGCTGTGCAGTAGCACAATCTTGGCTCACTTCGACCTCCTAGACTCAAGTAGTCCTCCCACCTCAGCCTCCCAAGTAGCTGGGGCACCACCACACCTGGCTAATTTATTTTTTATTTTTTGTAGAGAAGAGATTGCCTTCTGTTGTCCAGGCTGGTCTTGAACTCCTGGGCCCAAGTGATGCTCCCACCTTAGCCTCCCAAAGTGCTGGGATTACAGGCATGAGCCACCATGCCCGGCCAATAAATCTTTTAAAAATCTGTAAGAGAGAACCTCGCCTTTAAAATTGCCTTTTATGGCCGGGCGCGGTGGCTCAAGCCTGTAATCCCAGCCTTTGGGAGGCCAAGATGGGCGGATCACGAGGTCAGGAGATCGAGAGACGATCCCGGCTAACACGGTGAACCCGTCTCTACTAAAAATACAAAAAATAGCCGGGCGAGGTGGGGCGCCTGTAGTCCCAGCTACTCAGGGCTGAGGCAGGAGAATGGGGTAAACCCGGGAGGCGGAGCTTGCAGTGAGCTGAGATCCGGCCACTGCACTCCAGCCTGGTGACAGAGCAAGACTCCGTCTCAAAAAAAAATAAAAATAAAAAAATAAATAAATAAATAAAATAAATAAAATTGCCTTTTATTTGTTGAAGAAACTGTTAGTTGTCCTATAGAATTGTCTCTAATCCGGACTTGGTTGACACCTTGTGGTTTTTTCCCATATTCCTTCATCAGTGTTTTTGTAAACTAGAAGCTTGGTTAGATTCAGGTTCAGCTGTTTTGCAAGAATTCTTTTTGGTGCTGTGTACTTCTATAATGTCCCTCTAGGGGGCACTTAACCGCTGCAGATCTGGTTCCACAGTCAGTGGTGTGAAAATTGATCAGACCGTTTGAGTGTTGCCAGCTTGATCCATCCAGGAGAACCATCAGCCTTCCAATGGATGGTTTTAGGCAGTGTTTTTGTTTTTGTTTTTGTATTTTTGAGATGGAGTTTCCCTCTTGTTGCCCAGGCTGGAGTGCAATGGCACTATCTCGGCCCACTGTAACCTCCGCCTCCCAGGTTCAAGCGATTCTCCTGCTTCAGCCTCCTGAGTAACTGGAATTACAGGCACCTGCCACCACGCCCAGCTAATTTTTTGTATTTTTAGTAGAGATGGGATTTCACCATGTTGGCCAGGCTGGTCTTGAACTCCTGACCCCAGGTGATCCACCTGCCTTGGCCTCCCAAAGTGCTGGGATTACAGGCATGAGCCACCATGCCCGGCCAGCAATGTTGTTTTACAAATCAAATGATTGGGGATAATCTGTTACTCATTAATTTTTTTTTTCTTTTTTGAGACCGAGTCTTGCTCTGTCACCCAGGCTGGAGTGCAGTGGCACGATCTCAGCTTACTGCAACCTCTGCCTCCTGGATTCCAGTGATTCACCTGTCTCAGCCTCCCAACTAGTTGGGATTACAGGCGCGTGCCACCACACCCAGCTAATTTTTGTATTTTTAGTAGAGACAGGGTTTGCAATGTCAGCCAGGCTGGTCTCGAACTCCTGACCTCAGGCAATCCACCTGCCTTGGCCTCCCAAACTGCTGGGATTATAGGCATAAGCCACCGCGCCCAGCCTACTCATTAAATTGAAGGGGGGTAATATGCAGGAAAATGATGGAATCAAATTGCCAGAATGTTAACAGCAGTTAATTTGGGTGTTGAGAATAGAAGCAATTATTTTTTTTTTTGGTTGTTTTATTGTACTTTTTTCAAATTTCTTAAAATGCAAATAAAAGAAATCCTGCCCAAACACATCTAAAGGAGATGAGATAAACAGGGAGAAAGACTCGAGGGAAGGTTCCAAATCCAAGTTCCAGGAAGGGTAGCCAGGGAAGTCCACACGCCACAGTGATGACAGTGGACCTCAGTTGCTTTGCTTTTGTGTGTGCCTGTCCAATGTTCATTCTGCCTCCTGACATCCCTCATGCCCTTTAGGCTCTCCCCCTCCTCCCCGGGATTCCATTTTGGTGGAACTGCTCCCCTGGCCAAAGCTCAGGGGCCAGTCAGACCTTTCTCCCCAGGACTTTATGAGCCTTGGGTGCATCACCTCCTCCTGGAAGCCTTCCCTCGGCTGGGGCAGGTGCCTCTCTTCGATGCCTGAGTTCCAGCTGTCAAAACACTTATATGCCAGCATGTTTATCTGCCCTCTCCTTCACCCCGCCTCAGCCTTGAACAGTGCCTGGCACATGGCTGGTGCTCAATAAATATTGGATGAATGATGCCCATATTGCTTAGAGCTGAAGAAGGGGCTTGAATATTAGATTAAAAGATTGCAGAAACTCTTGTAGATGTTCCATAGGATGTGGCTGCAGCTTCCAGGTTCTCCAGTCTAATTCCAGCCCATGGCCTCCTCTTATTGACCAGGGCACATTATTTACCCAAGTTCCGCCTTCCCTGAGTCCCCACCATCCCGCACCTCGGCATCAGGCCTTTGATCCTGCCCAGTCCCCAGTTTTCCTGCCCTGCCTTATGCAGAAACTTGAATGTTAGGTTGGGGTATTGCCTTGAAGAGGCCACAGAAAGAACATTTACTTTAGAGAGTCACCACCATCCTCAGACTACACCTTGTAGACTTAGAAACCTGGACACCATTTGGAATGATGTTGCAGACTGTCAGTGTTTGCCTCTGAGTCTCTTATTTGTGTGCAGGCAGATCGTACATTCTTTCTTTAGTAATGTCAGTACCTCTCAGTCCAGTCTGACTTTGGCCTAAGGTCATTCTGACATGTAAGGATGATTAGCAGCAGAACCAGGAGTCACAGCTGGGCATCCCGACCCCAGAGTCCTTGCTCACCACCTCCACACTCCACTTTACTCACTCAGTGTGTTAGTGGAAGCACACTGGGGTTCTTTTTGTGCTGAAGAAGTTTAGACCGTTAGAAAAATGTAAGTATGAGCCAGGCACAGTGGCTCTTGCCTGTAATCCCAGCACTTTGGGAGGCCAAGGCAGGAGGATCATTTGAGCCCAGGAGTTCAAGACCAGCCTGGGCAACATAGTGAGACCCTGTCTCTGTAAAATAAGATAAAATAAAAGTGTACGTATGTTTCTAGGGTCAAATTCTGAAATCTGTCCTCATTTTTCCTGCCAGGAGGAGGAGGGGGATGAGAATAATTATGGAATATTACAGACTGTAGTTTGCAGTTTAAAAGAAATCAATAATATTTGCTAATCTTAGAGACTGTAAAGATAACTGCTAGTAGAACAAACAGAACGTGTAACCTTCAAGCCAGTGGATAGATCTGTTAAGGTTCTTGGTTGCAAATGACTCCAGCCAACTTCAGCAGAAAAAGAATTTATTGAAAGGCTCTCAATAGCTCAAATATCAACAGGAAGGCAGGAAAACCTGGCTGGGAAAAAGGGCAGAAACCAAGACAGACTGGGCAGGATACTGCTGTCACTGCTGCTGCCCCTGGACATGCCTGCCCCTCTTGTTGTGCGTCTTAGTGTCACTTGCTCCAGATGGTCCCATGCTGGGTCACCCAGCTGGCTTGGTCCATCATGTACCAATAGATGTCAGCAGTGGAGAGTGTCCAGAACTCTTTCACCCCTGTAAGTGGGAGACTGGGCTTGGTCTTCCATCGAGTCACACAGTGAGAGATTCCCCCCAGTAAGAAAGGAGTTCAAATGCTAGGGTGTGCCCCCTCTCCCCTACAAGGCAACTCCTCTCTACAAGGAAATTTGGTATATGTGCTGCTGAAGCGAGCACGCTACAAGGAAATTTGGAACAAGAACCTGATGGATCCATTGGAAGACAAAAATAGGGAAAAGGGGAGACTTGGAGAAGCGTACAAAAATGAGATAGGCTCCCAGATGCCAGGAATGATCTGGAAATGCCATCTGGTAATGAAGAGAACAGACATGCAGCGCTGCACACTTTACCTTTGCTGAGTAGATACCTAACAGAAGGAAGGGTAGGCATATGTGGCTTTATTTGTTGATGAGACTAATCTTGGACTTTCCATTTTCAAGGAAATTAAGCCTTTTCTGAGACGGGAAGAATTATTCCAGTATACTCACCCTCAGGATCGCTGGCAGAGTAGGGTAGATATAACTGATGGTGTGGTCAGAAAAGAGGTGAAGCTCAGGAGGCTGATGGATTGGGAGAAAGCAGTGTAGAACCTGGAAGTCTAGATGAGGTTAAAGAATACATATGGCCGGATGCAGGCTCGTGCCTGTAATCCCAGTACTTTAAGAGGCCAAGGGTGGGTGGATTGCTTGAGCCCAGGAGTTTCAAACCAGCCTGGGCAACATGGCGAGACGATGTATCTACAACACAAGAGAAAACAATCAGTCAGGCATGGTGATGTGTATCTGCGGTCCTACTTGAGAGGCTGAGGTAGGAGGATTGCTTGAGGCCAGGAGGTTGATGCTGCAGTGAGTCATGTTTGTGCCACTGCACTTCTGTCTGGGTGACAAAGCAAGACCCTATCTCAAACAAAAATGAAAGAATAAATATGTCACAGGAACAGAGGGCAGGATGGAGGCAGTAGCGGTCAAGAGCTCACACTTTCTGAAATGGGAAAGCTCCTGGAGGCGCTAGGAGTGAGGATGTGACCAAGGGGCTAGGAGACTGGGGTGGGGCCTCCAGAGCTGCAGGAGCCACCAGCTGGCACCCAGGGCGGCAGTGGGGTCACCCATGGACTCTGACATCCCCCGGGAAAGCAGCGGGGCTGGAGAAGAGGAGAAGTAGAAAGGGCCTAAACGCCGCAGGAGGAGGAGGGATGTGACCGCAGTCCGAAGGGGAGGTGACTCGAGCCCCAGATGAGCTAGACACTTTGAGAAGCATGGAGGCCTCCTGGCCTGGGAGTAGCACTGGGGTCCCAGGAGAAGGCAGCTGCAGCGTGACCGGTGGGGAAGAGCAAGCAGCACATCCTAAGAGGGCTGCAGGGGGTGCCGCTTCCGGCTGTCGCTGTTGCCAGGTACTTGACAGGCAGGGACCAGTGCCTTCGCCAGGTCTTGCTTCTGCCTGTTCCGTGGCCACCCCTGTTTCTCAAGGGCTGAGTTCAGAGCTGCTCTTCCCGTTTTCCATGGGAACCAGCGACTGACAAACAGGACTTGTTGCTGATGTGCTGTGGAGACATACACGGTGTTCACAAAGAGGCACCCCTCTTTTTTTTTTTTTTTTTTAAGACAGGGCCTCACTCCAATTTGCCCAGGCTGGAGTACAGTGGCACAGTTTTGGCTTACTGCAGCTTCGACCTCCTGGGCTCAGGTGATTTTCCCACCTCAGCCTCGCAAGTAGCTGGGACCACAGGTGTGTGCCACCACACCTGGCTACTTTTTTTTTTTTGTATTGTAGAGACGGGGGTTTCACCATGTTGCCTAGACTGGTCTCGAACTCCTGAGCTCAAGTGATCCACCTGCCTCACCTTCCCAAAGAGCTGGGATTACAGGCGTGAGCCACCACGCCCAGCCCAGAGGGGCACCCTTCTAACAACCCCACTGCCCACCCGCCCTGCTGCCTGCACGTGGAGGCCCTTCATAGTGCTGTCCAGGGGGCCTCGAGCATGAGGCGCCTCTGACTGTGGCTGAAGCAGGCCTCTGGGAATCCAGAACTGGTCTTGGGAAACAACTTGAGGGTCCAGCCTGCAGTTTGGGATCCAGCATCTCCCCTCCCACCCCAAGGCTACTTCCCTGGAGCTCAAGGGCGCCGCTTAGGTGCTCACGGCTCTGCACAGCTTTTCACAGGCTCCTTTCTCCGCAGAATCCCCCTGTCCCTGCAGTCACTCCCCTCCCCTGTCCCCCACCCTCCCCCAAGGCCCACTTCTTAGGAGCTGTCCCCACTCAGGGCTTGACTGTGTGCATTCAGTTAGGGCAGGCTCAGGGCCCGCTGAGGAAACCACCTCCCTCAACCAGCCTCCCCTCAGCTCCCTCATCTACTCTCTGGCCTCCACGAAGTCCCCACTTCTCCCACTGTCTCCCATTGTCCTCAGTGTCCCCCACTCCCCACCCCCAGCTTGTGTTGCTCTCTGGGAGCCCCTGTGCTTCTCCCAGAACTTGTCCACTGGGCAGGACTGGCAGGCAGGACGGCTCTTCCTCCCCCAAGCCAGGGATTTAGTAGGCAGGGAGTAGGCAGGGGGCATCCAGGTCTTCCTGGCCAGCATCTGGGAATTCACCCAGATGGTTTGTGCGAGTCCCACTCCCCTGGGGCTGGCCAAGGCCTATCAGAGTGGAGCCCACCAGTCAAATGAGTGCAAGCATGAGCTTGGATAGAACATCCACTGGACAAAAGGCCAGATACAAAATTGTGTATGTGTACTGTGTATATAAAATAAAACAACCACATGAAACATCATTAGGAGGAAACATGCCACTGTTACTGCTTCAGAGTAAAGTTATGGGTGGTTTTAATTTTTTCTTTCCTTTAGATTTAATCCTCTTTTTACAAAAATTGTGGCAAAATACACATAACGTAAAATGTACCATCTTCACCATTTCAGTGTATAGTTCAGTATTGATAAGTATTTTCACATTGTTGCACAACTGATCTCCATAACTTTTTCATTTTGCAAAACTGAAACTCTGCACCCATTAAACAACTCATCACTTCCCCTTCCCCCCAGCCCCTGGCAAGGGAGGTTTTACATTTTTAAAAATGTTTTCATGTTTGCTTATTTGCACTTTCCAAATTTTCTATGATGAGCATTTATTATTTTTATAAATGAATTTTTAAAACTAAACATTATCTGCAACCCTGTACCACGTCTTCCACTTTCTCGGCAGGGAGCACGAGCAAGGGGCATGAGCTAGGAAGCTGTCTGCAGGGAGAACCCAGACAGATAGACCCCAGGTCATCCTCCAGCTCCCAGCCATGGAAGCCAGGGCTTCTCTCAGGAGAACAAGACTCAGGGACTGCAGCAGGACAAGCTTCCTCCATGAACTGAGTCCTGGCTGAGCACTGACTTGGCCTGCAGGGATTCAGGATGGGTCTCAGTTTCAAGGATTACTTGTCCCTATCCCTCCCCTGTCCCTCTTCTCACTGCATTGAGTTCGGCAGAACCCTCCACAGGGTCGCTCCTTGCCCTTGGTTGGCCATGTCTCTTGCTCTGAGACCCACTGGCCAGCCAAGTCCAATACTCTGCTCACTGGACCCCCAAGCCAGTCTGCACGTACGTGAGGACGGAGGTGGGCTGTGGTGGTGGGGTCAGCATCCATGCCGGCTCTGCCCTACTTGTGCTGGGAGAGGTTGGGGAGGGCATGTGGAGGTCAGGGAGGAAGTAGGGCTTGGGGTTGATAAAGATGCAGATAATAATTTCCGCCCTGTCAATCTGAGGGTATTGTTGGTTTCATTACAAGCGGTGCCTTACACACACAGAGAAAGAAAACCACAGCTAAAGTGCCAAAACACTGTGGAAAGCCAGCGCCTCTTTCATTTTTCTGGCAAGGAACTGAGGCCTAGAAAGGTGGACTGATTGGCTGGGCGCAGTGGCTCATGCCTGTAATCCCAGGACTTTGGGAGGCCGAGGTGGGCGGATCACCTGAAGTCAAGAGTTTGAGACCAGCCTGGCCAACATGGTAAAACCCTGTCTCTACTAAAAATTAAAAAAAAATTAGCTGGGAGTGCTGGGGCTTGCCTGTAGTCCCAGCTACTCGGGAGGCTGAGGCAGGAGAATCGCTTGAACCCGGGAGGCGGAGGTTGCAGTGAGCCAAAATCGCACCACTGCACTCTAGCCTGGGCGACAGAGTGAGACTCCATCTCAAAAAAAAAGAAAGGTAGGCTGATATGCTTGATGGCACATGACAAGGTGGCGACAGCAGGGCTGAGACTGGAACCAGGTCCCCTGGATCCCTGGGCCCCTGCCAGAACCTGAACAGGAACTGGGAAGGACAGCAAGGACCCTGTGGGACCGTTTCAGAAACTGGCAGGGAGTCCCCAGAGAGAGGACTGCTGAGCTCCAACTAACTGTGATATTTCTGCAGGGGAAGGACTTGAACTGGGGGAGTGGCAGTGGAGGGATAAGAAGCGCACGGTGTGGCATCTGGTCAGTGTGAGTCCTCAGCAATCAGGGATCCTTCCTCCTGCTATTTCCCTTGGAGGGAAACTGAGGTGCTGGTCAGAGTTTCTAGGCTGAACTAGGGACAGCACGTGAAGGCATCCCTGCAGAGGAAGGCAGATATGTCTCCCTAGCTCCAGGTGACCCTCTGGCCTCTCCAGGTGAAGCCACTTTGAGGCTCCACTCAGGATAAATCAGTCTCTTGCTGCCCCTCTGGGCCATCGTCCCCAGCCAGGGGGTGGACCCTGCTGCCTGGGGAGCCTACGTCACACAGGGTGCTGCCTGTGGTCACCCTGCTGAGGCTGTGGGAGCTGTGGCGGGGTCTGAGGCGGTGGCAGTGGGCCCCGAGGCACAGGGCCTCCTGGAAGGTCTCTCGGAAGCGGCTGGACATGAGGCTGTAGAGCACGGGGTTGGCCGCCGAGCCGAGGTAGAAGAAGATGCCGGAGATGACATGCACATGCTGAAAGGCCAGGTGCAGGCCGTCTGTCCACTGTGACACGATGCTCCACATGACGCGGTCGGTGTGGAACGGGGCCCAGCAGATGCCAAACACCACAACCAGGACAACTGCAGGGACAGACAAGGGAGGCAGAGTGTCCACCGGAGCCCCTCAGCTGCCTTCCCAGACTTCAGTTTGGGTCACCCATTCTCACATCCTCTCCTATCCCACAGGCCACCCTCACCTATCACCCAGGTGGAAGTTTCTGGAAATTTGCCTGTTCTGGCCATGCCTCTCAGAGAGGCTGCCTTCACCACAGTCACTGACTATAGGCAGTGGGGCATGTCCCTGCCTCTGGCCACAGCCGACTGGACCAGGCATGGACACCTGAGCCCAGCCGGCCCAATCAGATTCTCACCCTGGAGTATGAAATTGGGTGAGCTACTGGGGTGCTACAGGCTGTGGGGCTAGGGCCACTCTGGATGCCCACTTGGGGACCGTGCTTGCTGATGCATAAGTACAGAAAAGAAGAAGAATGGGTGCTCAGAGAGCAGCAGACCGGAGGTCATGGGACCAGGGAGAGTGAGACACATGAGACACACACATGCATGCACACACAGACACACACGCATGCATGCACACACATATGCACACACAGACACACACATGCACACACATACACACTGCCTGCCTTGGCCCCTGGCCTTTTCAACTCCAGCCCCCAGCTCCCCAAGGCCCATCTGAATGTCTCGCCCTGCACTAACCTGCCCCCCTCTTACTTGCCAGGCCCTTGCCCACCCCCTCCCTAACAAAAGGTAGGACCGTTTGGCCAAACCTTCACTCTTTCTCCCCAAATCCCTGCTGCCTGTTCTTACCCAACTATGCCCTTCCTTGGGTTTCTGCCACAGGGCCAGCTATGATTTTTGTTTCTTGTTTCTTGGGTTTGCTGCTGCAACTCACTAGCTTTCCTGGGCAGTGTCTTCCCCATCATACCCTAGCATGGTTTTCCTCATAATTCCAGATTTCAAAAAGGACGTTGCTCACAACCTCCCTGGCACCTGGCCTGGTGCACAGAGGGCCACTGGACAGTGGACAAGGGAGGGAGGGAAGGAAGAGAGAAGGCCAGCAAGCAGGAAGCCCACCTTCCAGGGGTGAGCCATCCAAGCTGAGCACCTACTGCAGACTCTGCCCACCCATGTTTTCAGGGACGGGACGGGGTAGCAGGCAGAAGGCAGGGCGGCAGCGGGCAGCCGGTGCTGAGCACGGTTCCACAGTGCAGAGCTGGGAGGCATGCACACAGCTCTGGGGTCAGCCCCACCTCAGGAGCTGCACGAAGACTGGGCTCTGGGACGGTGCCTGAGGGGCGAGAGGAGCGAGTCACTCTGGGGATGGGGCGGCCCCCAGTTAGCTGGCTCTGTCCAAAGTCTCCGTGGCCCTCTGCTGACCTGGCTCACCCCACTGGCCTGATTCAGGCTCTGCTGAGGTGGGGCTGAGCTGGGATGCAGGTAGGTGGATGGGGCGGGTCTTTGATCGGCTTAGCATCGGTCTGCCTTGCTTCCCCAGGGCCACAGCTTTTGAAAAAGAGCCAGGTCCAGGCCACAGAGATCCAGAGCCTCATCCCAGTACATTGGCCTCCCCTAATCTGCACATCTCCAGCCTGATCCCCTGTGCCTTGAGCCTGGCCTTTACAGACTCGCCTCGGGCTGGGGCTCCTTAGATAAATGGTCACTCCTGTGGTTCCCAGGGAACGGCAGACATGGCATGGGGGAAATTCGACACCTGGCCTCTCCAACACCCTCCTCCCCTTCTTTGGGGGACTTTGCTCCCCCAGATCCCACTATGTAGTTCCACTGGGGGCTGTGCACCTTGGCATCCTGCCACTCTGGCGCAGGAGGTGGGGCATGACCTAGGCCCCACCCATCAGAATCCTTCTTGGGACTTTTCACTCATCTCTAAGGGAAGAGGGCAGTTCCTCAGGAAAGACGACGACGTGCCGGTGGCCATGCCTTGCAGGCTGCTGCCGAGAAGAACAAGGCCAAGACACGTTAATAACCAAGAAGAGCCGGGCGCAATGGCTTATGCCTGTAATCCCAGCACTTTGGGAGGCTGAGGTGGGAGGATCACTTGAGCCCAGGAGTTCAAGACCCACTTTGGCAACATAGCGAGACCCTGTCTCTACAAAAATGAAAAAATTAGCTGGGCATGGTGGCACATGCCTGTAGCCCCAGCTACTTAGGCTGAGTGAGGTAGGAGGATCGCTTGAGCCTGGGAGGTTGAGGCTGCAGTGAGCCGTGGTCACACCACTGTACTGCCTGGGTGACAGAGCAAGACCCTGTCTCAAAAAAAAAAAAAAAAAAAAGAAGACGACGATGAGAGACCTGAGACCTGGAGGGTCCAGATCCCATTTTCTGTCATCCTGGAGCCCAATCACATGCCCTGCCCTTTCTATGTTTTGGTTCCAGAGTCAGGGCCCCAAGCTTAGCAGGGTCCTGGGCTTGGTTTAATGCTGTATTGTTGCTGTCTTACTCATTTTTGAAAAAGGGACCTTGAATTTTCATTTTGCACTGGACTCCATAAATTACACAGTCAGTCTTACATTTAGCCATTAATAGGTATTTTTGGTGTAAGATTCTAGTGGGGTAATCTAAAAGAGTACACAAGAGTGCAACTCAGACACATGCACACATGTACACACGCACACGCACACACACACGAGACTAGAGGAGTTCCTCGCCCCCTGTAAACCCAGACACTCAGCCCCTTCTCCCAGACCCCAGGAGCCCCAGTACCTGGCTCAGCCCCTCTTCCCAGCCGTGACACTTACACAGCATCTTGGTCACTTGTCTCCGGCCCCGATCGCGCCGCTGGAGCCTGCAGGTGTCTCTGGACATGGCTGCTGCAGAGCCCCTGCCCTTAGCCTCCTGCATGAGCAGTAGCCTCTCCCGCCGCAGTCGCAGCCCAATGAGCAGGTAGAGCACGCTGATGACAGCCATGGGCAGGCAGAAGAAGAGCAGCGCAGTGATCTGCACCGCCAGGTTGTAGAGGGCCCGTGGGCGGACCAGCGTGCAAAGATCTGAGTCTGGCACTGGGCCCCGGCAGGGCACATACAGCTGCTGGATGCCGTGCAGGCTGGTGTTGGGCAGGGAGCAGAGGATGGCAAGACCCCAGACAGCCCCAAGCACTCGGCGCACGTGGGCCTGTGTCACCATGGACCTGGCCTGGAGCGGGTGCACCACGGCCACATAGCGTTCCACGCTCAGGGCAGTGACGTTGAGCACTGAGGCCAGGCAGACCATCTCGAACAGCAGTGTGCGGAAATAGCAGCCACCAGCGCCCAGCAGGAAGGGGTAGTTGTGCCACATCTCATACAGCTCCAGGGGCAGGCCCACCAGCAGCACCAGCAGGTCTGACACGGCCAGGCTGAAGAGGTAGTAGTTGGTGGGCGTGCGCATGGCCTTGTGGCGCAGGATGACCAGACAGGTCAGCCCATTGCCCACAGCGCCCACCGTGAAGATCAGCAGGTACGTGACACAGATGGGCATGAACAGCTGTGTCTGCCGGGGCCCCAGGTACTTGAATCTCAGTGCCTCATCGGTCAGGTTCAAGTCCTCAGGGTCAAAGTGCCCCCTGGCCGCACTGCCATTGCAAGCCATGGGGCTCCTTGCATCCCCTGGGTACAGGTCTCCAGGGAGGACAGAGCAATTGAGGCAAGGAGGAGTCTGTGGAACAGAGGGGAGAAATGCCCAGAAAGGTCATTCAGGGAATGCTGGCTCTGTCTTAACTCATCAAGCCAAAGGTGACATTAGCACTAAGATGACCATTATTTTAGGCACCACTGAGAGAAAAAACTCTTCCATCCACAAGTCAGAGATGTGAAAATAAGCTTGGTGCGGTGGCTCACACCTGTAATCCCAATACTTTGGGAGGTCAAGGCGGGTGGATCACTTGAGGTCAGGAGTTCAAGACCAGCCTGGCCAATATGGTGAAACCCCACCTCTACTAACAATACAAAAATTAGCCAGGTGTGGTAGCACACGCCTGTAATTCTACTTGGGAGGCTGAGGTGGGAGAATCGTTTGAACCCAGGAGACAGAGGTTGCAGTGAGCCGAGATCGTGCCGCTGGACTCCAGCCTGGGCAACAGAGAAATACCCTGTCTCAAAACTAACAAACAAACAAAAAGTAAAAATCTACATTAAAAAAAAAAACACCGATATACAAAAAAACCGGTGGGGTTTTGATTTTAAATTTCAGGATCTATTGGAACTTTTGAATAAATGACAGATCTTGGGTGTCTCCCCTTTCAAGCAATGATGCTAGATGAGGCACTTGTTTGGGCATCTGTAAAATGGGCACAATGCCTGGTATTGCAGGGTCTTCAAGAGCAAGCGCTCTAGAAGCAACTGCCTGGATTCGAATCCAGCATCCCCAGTTCCAGGCTGTGTGACGTTCAGCGAGGTAACCTCTCTGAGGCTGTTTCTCTATTAGGAGGATCCAGGGAGTTTAATCCATGAAAGATATTAACACAGGGCCTGCCTGGCATACGGAAGGGCACGGGGATCACCCCCTTGCTCCGGGGACCCAGTCACTATGAGGGTCAAGTGAGGGAGTGTCAAGGCTAAACACTACAAATTAAACTTGATCCACAAGTTGATTCTTTTTTCTGTTTTCTGTCACCTGAACTGTTCAGTCTCCATATTTGACGCCCTTGGCACTGCCAGTTCTGGGGTTCCCTCTCCTCTATTGAGCCCCACACCGTTCCTCCCGCCCGTCCTCACCCCTGCCGCACAGTAGCGCGAGAGCCTCGGGGACCAGTTGAGAACGCGCAGGCGCCAGCCTGGGTTCAAGGGAGGCACCCTGGTCCTCGAGGGAGGCGCCCCGGTCCTCGAGGAAGGGTCGCAAGCCCGCAGCCCCGTGGCGCCCCTGGCCGGAAGACACAAATGACCCGAGAAGTTGCGAGGCTCCCCAGTGGCGGGGGCGGGGGTCGCCCCGACGGAGTCCTCGGACTCTTCCCGCTCTAGGACGACCCTGCCCGCACCGAGCCCCGGCCCAGCCGCCGCGCCCTAGCCCACGCCGGCGCCTGCGCACCTACCATCGGCCTGCGGCCCGCGAGACCCCGGCGTCCACCCTCTGAGCGACTGACACAGACGCGGCGCGGGAGCGGCTGGACTGACTGACGGCTGTCCCAGCCCCACTACGCCCCGCCTGTCCGACCGGGAACGCCGCCAGGGGGCAGTGCAGTCCCTGCAGCCCGGGGGGCGCCCCCTCCCGCACCGGGAAGTACGCGGCTGTTGCAGGCGACGTCTTCACAAGCAGCGTTATCTCGCGAACCCATTTTACAGATGAGAAAACCGAGCCTTAGAGAGCTGCAGAGGAGGAGCCCGAGAGACCTAGGGCTCACATGCGGTTCCCGCTCTCTAGCGTGCTGAGTTTAGCATAACCCTGTGTCACAGTGTCCCTGCAGCCTCCAGCTCCTCCTGCCCCACATTCAGACCCACCTCCAAGGACAGGGACGGCCCACTAGCCCCTTGAAGTCGACATGCGCCGGTGGGGTTCATCCTCCCAGGCTCCAGCCCTCTTCTTCCGTCCCAGGGCCCACGATTGCGGCCTCCGCAGCCCCTCTCACCCGCCGCTCCCTTCGGGGCCTCCAGGCCCTAAGTCCAGGGGCTCGGCCCTGCGGGACTGGGCAGGAGCCCCCATTCTCCTCCTAGTCCATCCTCCCACAGCCACCAATGACCATCACGCCTCAAAACCCTTCCTTGGGGCCCCCCGCTGCCTTCTGAAAAAGAGCACACCCAAGTCTAGCCTGGTGGTGGACCCCCCCACTCCTCACCTGCCTCCCTGGGCCACCCTCTCCTCACCATGGTCCTCAGCCCCAAATACTGTCCCCCTTATCCGTTCAAATGTTCTTCTGCCCCCATCACTGTACAAAGGGTGGGGGTATAACAAGGATGGAGGGAATTTAGGGAAGGCTAAGGATGCCTAGCCACAGCCTCCTGCTCCCCCACACTGCCCACATGCAAATCCCAGTGCCTCACCTGCCCCCACTCCCTAGTCCTGCAGTCAGCTCCTTAGCTGGAAGCTGTTTCATCAGGAACTTCTAGGGACCCTAGAAACGACTGATCACGCAGACTAAAATGCTAGTTCCGGGGCCTTTGCCCAGAGTTTGGTCTCCTTAGTCTGGGCAAGGCCCAGAAATCCTCATGTCTGACCAACGCTCTCTGGAGAGCCCATACCCAGGAATCACACTTTGAGGAGCGCCAGGAGAGGCTACAAAGCCGCAGGACCCGGAGAGCCACTGTGAGCTCCCAAGCTCTGTGCCTCAGTTCCCCTTCCTGTAGAATGCGCTAACCACCATCGCCACTATTGTGAGGATGACATGAGACACTGAGCGTCAAGATTCAGCACAGAGGCTGGCACATGGCCAGCAATCAAGAAATGTGGGGTAGGATTGTCATCATTTAGTGGTGGGAGGCTCCTTCTTCCCCCAGCTTTCCTGCAGCCTTCTCCTCCCCACTGCCGCCCAATTCCATAAGTCACTGTCTGGGCTTGGGGATGGGAGTTAGGCCCTCAAGGCGCCAGCACCAGGCCGGCCTTCCCACGAACTCCACATGTAAACAGAGTCCCAGGCAGGGGACGGTTGTGGGAAGTGCAGGGGCACATGGTCCCCAGGGCCTTGGGAGAAAGGATTCTGTGGTGCCCTGAGAATTAACTATTCAGCCCCGGATGAGCTAGTCCAGGAGAAATTCTCAATAACGGGTCTGCCAACACAAGAGACGGGCAAGGAGGGATGACATCACTCAGCAACAGAGCCCACTGTGGCATCACAGGCTGCTCATAGCAAGTGATGAGCATTTGGACCCCAGCCTTTCACTGGAACACACACACGCACACACACGCACACCCACGCACATGCATGTACACACACATGCATGCACACATCACTCTGCACATACCACCGCACACACACATACACACATACCATTCTGCACACACTCTGAGCAGTCCAAAAGTCCCTGTGGACCCTTTGGTGCACACGGCCCTGGAGGGGATGGGGAAGGACCCACCCAGCCTTGCAGAGGCAGAGTGACTCTTGCCAGTCAGAAATTTCCTACAGCAGGCTGCATCATTCGCACAGCACTAGCAGCCATCAAACGCTAAAGAGCAGCCCCCAAAAAGGAGAGGCTCAGTGGCCACAATGGCTGTGGCCCTCACTTCTGCCACTGTGCAGAGGGCCCTAGGGGTCCTGGTCTCTGGGCCTGAGCTCAAGGCCACCACGGTAGTGTCCCATCAGAAATGTATGACATCCTGCTGCTCCTGCTCCGTCCTGAGGTGGCGTACCCCGGTTTTCTGGGTGTACACATCCATCTTCTAAGCTTGGCTGGTGGGCGTCTGCCCAGATGAGGGGGTCAAGGACCCAACTCTACACAACAGCAAATGCACTTGGGGGGGCCACCAGGACCTCCAGGAGCTGCTGAGATACCACCCAAGTCCCAGGCATGTGCAGGACTCATGGGGCCAGAGGCATGTGAGTAGCTCCGTATCCCCTCCTTACCCTGCTGATTCCCTGAGAGCCAAGAGGGGCTGCTTAAACCCAGGGCAGGTTTAAACCAGAACCTTCTCAGCCTTGGGGTGACCAGCAGCTCCTGGCAAGCCCATGGTTCCCCTAGAAACTCCCCACACCCATCCCACTTTGCTGTCTACAGAGGGGAGGCAGGGAGGATGAGATGAGCTTGGGGACACTATAGCTCTGGACGCAAGGGAGGCACTGTTCTGCAGCCTGGGCAGTGGGGACCACCCAGGACCCCCCATCACTGGGCGTCATCGGGCAAACATGGAGAACCAGAACAGTAAATATCCGAAGCAAGGGGGAGTCACTGTACCCGTCTGGGCACCTCCCAAGGTCAGAGAGCTCCCCACCCAGCTCTGCTCTGCGGGGTCAGCCTGGCCATGGCCAGGAGAGAGAGGAGGAAGGTCTGGGCCCCTCAGGTGATGGGGTTCCCAACTTGGGGGCTGGGATTGCACCTCAGGGAGCCACATGGCTTGTGTGTGATCATCCACCCATGCTCCCTGAGCCACCAGCCCTAGTCTGCTCATAGAAACTGGTGGGAGAGATGGTCAAGCCAGGCAGAGAACACAGTGAGTACAGGCTTTGGAGGCTGTGAGGCCAGAGTGAGAATCCATGTTCTGCCAGTGTGGCCTCAGATAAGCCACTTTGCACTTCAGGCCTCAGCTTCCTTGCCTGTAAAACACAAAAATAGCCCCTGTCCTTCAGGGATACCATGAAGATTAAGAGGGATAATGTGGGTTTAAGCACTCAGTGCAGGGTTGAAGAGCCTGGAATTCTCTGGAAGACACTAGAAAGCTGCTGGGAGGCAGGGCTGGGGTGGGAGCTGTCCTTAGCAGGGTTTGGAAGAGCAAGGTCCCCAGCACCCCGGGCAGGAGAGCTGAGTCCCAGTGGAAAGGAACATACAGGCTTGCAGGGAGTCCGGCCACAGTGCAGGCAGCCGGGGCCCTGCAGCCAGGTGGGGACCAGCAGTGGAGGGGACCTCAGGGGAGTGTCGCCCCTGCCTCTCTTGCTCCTCGAGGGGATCACTGGGGATTGTCTAGTCCCTTGCCCCCTGAGGGCTGTGAGACCTGTTCCTGAGCTCTCCCAGAGACAGCCAGCCCGCAGGCTTCAGGAAGGGTGCTGGGCACAGGGCACCAGCCACCTCCTCCCAGGGGCTCAGCCTGTGTACCAGGCCCCAACGTCCGCTTGTGGCCAAAGGGAGGACATGTTCAAGTCACACAGTGAGAAGGCCAGAAAAAGCCTGGGTCTCTCATGTCTAGGGCCTGTGTGTCCCTCATGCCATCCTGGACTGGGGCCAGATCTTACTGTGAGCCCACAGGGTGCTCGTGGCACCTACTCCTCCAAGCAATAAAGGC